TTAATCCAGGGGGGTGTTTCACAAAGATCATAAGTTGAACTTATCTCTAAGTTGGACTTAAAAATTATGGAGAGCCATTTGTAGTCTTAAAATAAAATATATTCAAAAGCGAAAATTCAAGTATTTTAAACTTTTCATAGATTCCACATCGAGAACATGAAATCTCCCATGATAGTAAAAAAATATGAATGATTTGAATCAACAATTTATGCCTTTTAAAATATCTTTTACAATTTTTTTTTAAAACTTAGAGATAAGTTCAACTAAGGGACTTTGTGAAACACCCCCAGGATGAAACAAAGAGAGGTGTTGTTGCAGAAAAAAGAAGAATCGGTGACCTGTGATTGTGTGTGAGCTTTTTACCACAAATCACCAGTATCCAATTGACAAATAAGCTGCCATTAGCAAAGTCGTGGTGGCAACTTTTGGTAGGCTTAAACTCCACATGGAAAGGACAGTGTGGGTAACTCGAAGATGTACTTGCTAGATTATATCAGTTACATCATTTTAAACAGTCAATGTAAAAGTCTCAAAAACATAATTTATACTGTTTTTTCTGGCTTTAGGAATGTAAATACATTTTGGGATGAGTCAAATTGGACTATACTTAAATTTAATCACACCTTCCTTTCAGAGAGAGTTAAATAAAAATAGGAAATGGAGGATGTGACAAGATAGTTTCTGAGACTTTGTGCAAACAGCATGTAAAATTTCTGCCCAAAGAGGGCGTTTTTTATAAACAGACACAAGTTTTCTGGCATTCATATAGTACCTTTGACTCATTTTGTTCGTAATATTCTCAGGACCGTTTTGATACAATAACACACAAATGAATATGTGCTGGTTCTAACATAGCATACTATCCAATTAAGTTTCATGGCATATGATTTACTCATCACAATGTTCTATCTTTCTCAATCCTAAGAAGACGGCTTGGTAATATGCAGTGGCAGACTACTTTTATGGTCATTTTGCTCTTATTTTCCCGCAAATTTATGCAAATTTGCCGTGATGTCCTATGTTAATATCCAAAATAATACTTTAGCTGTGTTCCCTGTGCCTAGAAACCTGGGTATAGCCATCAAAATGAAATTTAACACCTCTTTAACCCCAAGATATAGGCATCTTTACTCTAATTGATGTTGCCATGGTAACAATGGGAAGGTATAAGCCAAAATCCTTGAAAACACGCAAAAGTGTGTGGGGGTGGGGGGGGGGGGGGGGGGGGGGAGAGACGCAATTACCCCCCCCCCGAAAAAAAAAATTGGCAGTAAATGAGTAAAAAAAGACTTGTATTTTTCAACCAAAAAGAAAATGAAATATACTAAAACCTGAATTGAATCACATAAAAATCATATTCCATTCAAAGAAAAGGAAAGCAAACAGGAATTACATTTCCTAAAAATGTCGCATGCCCCTATATTTATCGCATGTCGTGGAAATATTGTGAGAGAATGGAAAGGCTAAGCCCCCCCCCCCCCCAATCATAAACTGCTTCCGGCGCGCCTGCTTGCCAGTGCAATATACAAAACGTAAGCTCTGGGGTTTTAGGTATTTAATTACGGCCAGATGAGCACAGGCGCGGATCCACGGGCCGATTTTACCGGCCCGGCCCCCCTAGCCCCCCGAAACGGTAAAAAATAGGATAGTAACGTACATTTTACCTTTTTTGAAACAAAAAACAAAAGCGGGTCCCCTGACCCCCCCCCCCCAAAAAAAAAAGAAGAATATGTCAAAAAATTAGCCCCCCCCCCCCGCTTATTCACAGGCCGGCTGAGACGGCGCAAAATTTTCCAACAAAAACTGGACCCCCCAAAATAAAAAGTGCTTCCCCCCTCTCTTATTCAACGGCCGGCTTAAAAAAAAATGTGCTCTTACCCGCCCCCTCCCCTCCCCCGCTTATTCGCCATCGTTTGTTGGCTGATTCGCCGCTAAATATTTTCTCAAGATTTGCCCCCCCCCCCCCCCCCCCCCCCTCTTGCCGCCTGCTGGATCCGCCCCTGGATGAGCAAATTTTGATTCCTCATTTGTGACATTGGCAAGTCACCTATTTTTTCTCTCTCTCTTTCTTTCCTTTTCTATGTAATGTACTTTTTCAAAAAGTGAGGGGGGCTCGAGCCCCCGAGCCCAGCCATTCCGCAGGCCCCGACATGAATTTTTCGCGCATAAAAACACGCTTAAAAAGTTATGACTTACAAAAAAATTGAGAAAAAAACACCGGAAATCATGTCATTTCAGCAACATTTGTAAATCACTGGTATCGAATAAAAAATGACCCCCCCCCCCCATCAGTACACCAGCTCATGTTTTCTCACCCCTATAACAAAAAAACACACACGCTTTCCCATCCTCTCACAATATTTCAACGATATGCGCATATAGCTATTATCAAAACCTCCATTAATATAGGTGGCATGCGGAATGTTTAGGAAATCTAATTCCTTTTCTTTGAATGGAATTTTATGTGATTTAATTCAGGTTTTTATTATCGTTATGTTCTTTTGGGTTAAAAATACAAACCATCTTTACTCCTTTACAGCTTTTTTTTTTTTTTTTTGGAGGGGGAGGGCGTTTTTTTTTGGGGGGGGGGGGCAAAAATGCGTTTTGCTCCCCCCCCCCCCAACTTATTTGGTTGTGCAAAACATAAAGGTGTTAGCCACGGGCAACAGAACCCAGGGTTTGGTCTTACATAGTGCAATACTTAAGCTTCATGATGAAGGAGGTCAAAAACGGGGGGGGGGGGGGGCATTTGATATTGTGTCCCCCACCCTTGAGAATTGGGAAGGGGGGATATGTACCCCTGTCCATGCCATGATTAACGCCCATGCCCTTATTTGTCGGTTAGAGCCCAATTTTGTTTAATCTAAAACAATGAGACCCAGACAAAAAGTTTCGGCATGTGACACAGTGACAGTAAAGAACAGTTAGTTCGGGTAAAAATGGTCATCAGTCTGTTAATGTCACGCAATGCCTTCAAAGTTGATAACGTAATTTGGGGATTATTGTATGTACAATGCGGCCGCTCATTTGCCGGTTTGAGCCCTTATTTCAACCTAACACAATAAAGCACATACAGGGACGGCCGAGCGACTTCCAAAGTGGGGGGGGGGGGGGGCACCAACAACAAAGGGCACTTTCTGGAAAAAAGGGCACCTACAGTGGAAATCTCAAAGTGAAAATATACCATTTTTTAGACATTGGTATATACCCCTACATTGTGATTACATTATCAGGGATCATTTCAATATTTGTTTCTCTTCATACATCATACAAGATATTGCTTAAGCATCATACTTTACAGTTGGGTGTGATGTCTGAATATGCATTTACGAGCGAGCGAAGCGAGCGATACAAATTTTAAAGATCTGTGAGGTCGCAGTGCGAAAAATTACATCTTATAAAGAGGAAAAAGCCAATCGTGATGGGGTTATAAGCACATTCTCATAACGGAAGACTAAAAAGACCTTTGATAGGTAACATAATTAATCTTTAAATGCGAGCAAGCGCAGCGAGCGAACTTTGGGGGAAATTGCTCTTAGTCGCTTTAAATAAGGGGCACGTTTAATGATTAGATGAAAAGGGGACAATTATCGAAAGGGATAAGACACTTATTAGAAAAGAAAAGGAGCACGTGTCAAAGTACAAAGGATAATTATAAGAGGTGAAAATGAGGCATTTTTTCACCTGAAAAGAGGCACTCACCAGTGATGAAAAAGAGGCGTTTACGAAAATGGGAAATAGGCATTTGTTGACAGAAAAGGGGCACCCACCATATTTTGATGGGGCATTTATAAGAGGTGAAAAGGGGATAGGTCCCTTATTAGAAAGGAAAAGGGGCACGTATCACTATTAAAAGGGGAATTATCAAAGGTGAAAGGGGAACTGACCAGATATGAAAAGGGGCACTTATAATAAAGGAAAATGTGCATTAGTTGAATGAAAAGGGGGCACCGTTCAGATTTTTAAAAGGGGCAGTTATGAGAAGGGGAATGAGCTCTTTCTTTTTAATGGGGGCACTTATCATAAGGAAAAGGGGCACTTATTAGAAAATAAAAGGGGCACATTTTAAAATGAAAGGTGTGCTTATCCGAGTTTAAAAAAAGGGTAGTTATTAAAAGGAGAAGGGGCACTTCTTACAAAGGAAAAAAGGGGCAGTTGTCAAAGTAAAAGGAGCACCTCTCAGTTTTGAATAGTGCAATTATCAGAGGTGAGGGGGGCACTTATCAAAAGTGAAAAGGGGCACTTCTCGTACCTGAAAAGAGACACTTACTAGAGATTAAAAAGGGCACAAGATAATATCAAGATTTATGGGAATGGAAAATGGACACTTATTGCAAAGGAAAATGGGAACATGTCGAAGGAAAAGGGGCACTTGTCAAAAATAAAAAGGGCATTCGTCAGAGGTGAAAAAGGGGAAGGGGCACTTTAACTAAGTAATAGGGGCACTTGTCAAAGTAAAAGGGGCACTTTTCCTATGTAAAAGGGGCACTTCTTACAAAATAAAAGGGGCAATTTTCCAATGTAAAAAAGGGGCACTTTTGGGGTATCTGAAAAAGTGAGGGGGGGGCACTGTGCCCCTGAACCGCCTCTGAGGACCGCCTCTGAACACATACCCCTTGTCCCGAGCTACGCCACAGATAAACTACATGGATATTCTGATTTGGAATATTATTAGTCATGTTACGTTAGGCTTTTCTCGCCATGTCGGCAAACCTTGATTCTTTGGCGAATGCCTCCATCAAGCCTCTAACAACGACACTGGTTAACAAAGCTTTGACGTTAGAATGAAAATGATATTTGCGAATTTACGAGCTGCAGAAAAAGACTCACGTCTTAAAAAGAATATTCCACTGTTCCCCATTGTTTGTTATTATAAGGCGCTGGAAATATATTTTAATCTCAACGACTGATGCAAGTGCACGGCCGTTGCGCGTGAGCGCAGAGCAGACGACCGGTGCGGAGATCGCGAAAACCATGCACTTTCGATCAGACTCTCCTCG